ATATATATCTTTGTTTAATATTTACAACTTCAACTTGACGTCAATGTTTATCATCAAGGACAGTTCATTATGAACTGTTGCTCAAACAAAATAAGCTAATAAAAACATCACTATAGATTATTAATGTTAAAATAAATCCACAACATTTGTATTCATTATGACAAGCCATTAATTTTTGCGACTAATCAAAAATAACTATGATTAAACAAGCTAACAAATTTTACAAGAATGTGTTGAAATACATGTAGTCAGACTTGTTTCAGTAGTTTCCTAAAATCAGCTCCAAAAAATCAATCTGGAAGCTGAGAGCTAAAGGGTACAACTGTTTGGAGACATCACACTGTTGCTATGGTTACAATTCAACCAAGACAGCCAAAAAAAAAGGATTTTCTGTGACCTCGGCGTGAAACACATCCACGCTTTTGAACATTCTGTACATTTTATTGTTATTGCGGCAAATAATGCCATTCTATAGTGGAAAACAACACTGTGACCATGAAGGAGAGCATCATCCTCTCTGCCAAACACAGCCACGTAAACCAGAGAACCAGAGTTGCTTTGTGGGATAAATCTGGCATTTAAACATTTCACGGCTCAAAATTGTGGCGGAAATTATTCACAAGACGTCGTGCTCCGGGATATATTAAGAGAGCATGATTATGTTCTTCTTGCGATTGGTTTCACTTAAAATACAAACAGAAAAAAACAAAACAAGTTTAGCGTTCTGAGATAAATAAGCGCCTCTGACCATCCTCTGCTAGGCTCCACCATCTGCTGCACACAGCCCCTCCAGGTGCCAGACTAGGTGGCTGCACTTGTATGATTATGCAAATGGACTCATTCATATTTAAATCATTAATTAGTCAGAGTTCTCCGAGGATACTGGCAGAGAAACATTTAGACACCGGCAGGCGGATAGCAGGATGGCTTGACCTTTTACGACTGGAGGGATGAGGGATTGTTTTCCAGGTGTGAAATGAAGGGGGGTGGGGAGGGCAAAAAGAACGGGAGGGAGAGATATGACAGTCCCATGGGTCCCGACACACATTCAGCTGACAGTGACGGACATGATCCAAAGGTGTTTGTGCTGAATTTATGAATTAAGGCAGGAGGGCAGATATTAGATTTCTGTTTAAAGTGCTGCTATTTTAGACCTTCTAAAAGCATTTTGTACTAGCCTTAAGCTATTTTTATAGGATCACACTGTATATTGATCTATTAAACGGGGTCTCAATAGCCTAAAAGACAATTAAAATTGAGGAATTGTTTTTTATAGGCCCTACAGAGGTCRTGTGGGCCCAGCGTAGTGTTCCAGTGAGATCATTTGATGGCAATGGTTGTTTTTATGTGACTGCTGTTACCTTGAATGTTTTGTCCATGGAGGCAGACAGCAGCAGGTGACTGAGATGAGGAACAGGACACCACTGCACTGTGTTAACTGGGCCCTGGTGGCCTTCCAGGCTCATTTGAAGTTTCCTCGTTACCCCTGCTGCTCTGGGCTTTTCACCGAGATACGGCTTCAGTCGTGACGGCACATCTGAGAGAATTTGACTTTTCCTGCTCRGATCTCCCTGGACTTGCTCCGATGGGCACTTTGGGCTCGGTGTCTCCACTGAAAGTCTCTGCCTCTTAGGGACATARGGTCTAACACCAGACACGACAGCTGGTAGTCTTTTTGCTGGACTGGGTCCATCACTGAAGCTGCTTGGAATGCATGAAGGAGTCTGCAGGGGTACAGCTTCTCCCTGAGTTGCAGGTAAATGCAGAGGAGCTGCACTTTCACTCCAKGATTTTCGCTCCCAGTCCGTACAAGGTTGTGGCTGAGAAGGAAAATGRGATGAAGAACTGCTTTCTTCTGATTGTAAAAGTTTCTGGTCAGAGGCAAAAGTTACAGATTCTTTGAAAATAATACTATTTGCAGCTTCTTGGGTTTTCTCACAGGATGTTGCTGTTTGGACAGGAGCTGATGTGCTTTCCTCCTTCTGTTCAGATGATTCATCCTCTGACTCTGAATCATCATAGGCCACCAGTGAAGACATCTTCATGTGACACTAAAAATAACAGGACAGCAGTTGTTAGTATTAACTCATTAAAGGCCCAAAAGTGACATCTAGTGGTCTTCACTAGGTAAACTCAAATTATACTTACAGAAATTATTTTTAGCACAACAAATCAACAGTGAATTATT